CCTACACTTTTCCGGGAATGTCGACCATGCACCTTCTCAAAATTCTCTATTTGGGGCTCCATCATCATCATCATCACCCCAAACATCTCAAACTCTTCCGAATTTTATGTTTCCATTTCCACAATATTTTCCAAACTTTCAAGTTTCCGGTACCTTTTCAAACGGGTCTAACAATGTGACCACACCTCCAAATTACGTTCCGGGAGCGGAAAATAGGTCAAGATATGGAACTCATGGTATGTCTCATAATCACTTATCTCATCGGTCAACACCTATAGATGTCTCACCAAGTGAGTCAAACAATATTGCTACATCTTGCACACAGAAAGACCCGAAAATGCCGTGTTCTATCAAAGTGAGCCCGTTTCCGTTACACTCCATAGAGACAAGGACAAATAATATAGACCTTGAAGGTGATATAGAAGTGTGTCATGAAACAGATCTTGATACATCAAAGAAGAAGCATTCATATGTGAAATGGGAAGTATCTGAAGAGATTGTTCTTGCAAAGGCATGGGAGATGATTAGTGAAGATCCCTGTATAGGGAATAATCAGTCTAGGGTTGCATTTTGGGATCGTGTCCGAATTTACTACAATGAAAATAGACCTTCTGGAACTGCAGAGAGAAGCACAACTCAAGTGAAAAATCACCATAATGTAATGTTGAAAGAGACAAATAAGTTTGGAGCTAAGTTCAATAATGAGTGGAATCAAAGAAAAAGTAGGGAAAGTGATGAAAATATATATGCTCGTGCTATTGCCAAATTTGCTGTAGATGAAAAAAGGACTCTTAGATATGATCATGGAGAGTTGTGAAAGACACTCCCCGATTCGCTCGACAAGAAGACGTTCAACGCACACAAAAAAAAGACAAAAAATAACGAATCTGGTGCATACACGTCATTTTGTCATGGAGATGCAAGCATTGATATTGACGCAAATGAAAGTAGAGCACGTCCAATAGGACAAAAGGCGGCCAAGCGGAGGGAAAAGACTAATGCGGAAGGCACCAATAGTACTACTTGCCCACAAAATAACTTGGGAGATGTATGGGTAGGTATTCGTGAACATGAACAAGATCGAGAAGCTTCGTCAACAAGCTGAAATAATTAGGCAAAAGGAAGATGAACTTAAACTTAACCGACTTGAGTTCCTTTTTAAAGATACAAATGGTATGAACGACCAACAAAAGAAAGATCATGAGAAACTTTGTGAACAAATTCGAATTATGTACGATTTGAACTAGTTATTTTATGCATATGTTATTGAATAAAAATTATATTTCACTTTTATTTAAGTCGCATGTCTTGTTAATAGTGATTCTATGTACTTCTATTCTATAAATGATTAACTCTAAAAAGATGAAGTCAAACTATGACGATAGTAATTTTTATATACATTCTGCGGTTAGTATTTAATATTAGTTTATTCATATATAATACATAACTATTTGTACATATATAAATAATAAAGATATTATTGTTTAGAATTATATCATAAACTAGCCGTTAGGAATATTATTAGTTACTACTATTTGAAATTATATTATTTATAAATTATACTCCGTACTTAATAATGAAATATTTTCAAACATTGAAAAGAATATAAAACATATATTATGACTTAAATATATATTAAAAATTACTACGTAGCAATTAGGAACTAGTTGCTAATATTAGTTGTCTGGTACATTTTTAATCTTGTCGATCATGTCATTCTATATGATCTACGTAGCATATTATTTTAAATTATATCATGCTCCGTATATAAATACTATTTTATATATACTTGTATAGAAAAAGAAATAGTATACTTTACAAGAATATCACATACTAGTTGTAAAAAACTAGCCGTTAGAAACTAATGTGTTAGAAATTAGCCGTTTGAAACTAATGTGTATATATATACACACAACACAAGAAAAGACAACTGCTCATTCTTTCATCAACGTATCATATATATCTGTCAACAACACTACTTATATTCATTATAAAAAAATGTCTACAGATTCAAATTCTGTTGAACTACGCATGGCACAAAAGTACTAGATTAACTGGTTACGAGAAAGTGCTAATGACTCGTTGACTATACTGAATGTTCTTGAGGAGGTGGAGAGGCAAATTGAAAGTGGTGAAAGCTCAAAAGCTAGACGAAAAAAGAGAGCTTACATTAGTTACATCGACCGTGATCGTCAAAGCGGCCAATTGCGTCTTTATAATGATTACTTTTCAGAACAACCAGTTTTTTCTCCAAACTATTTTCGTCGACGCTTTCGAATGCGTAGGCCGTTATTTCTCAAAATAGTCCATGCAATTGAAAATTATTCCATTTATTTTCAGCAAAGGGAAGATGCATGCCAAAAGAAAGGGTTGTCACCACTACAGAAATGCACTGCTGCCCTCCGTCAACTGGCATACGGAACTCCTACAGATAGTTGGGATGAGTACATAAGAACGGCTGAAACAACTACTATAGAAAGTTTGAAGAATTTCTGTCAATGTGTGATCAAACTTTTCGGTAATCAATACTTGAGAAGGCCCAATGCAGATGACATAAAACATTTACTTGAAATTCATGAACGGAGGCATGGTTTTCCTGGCATGCTAGGTAGTCTTGATTGTATGCATTGGGAATGGCGGAACTGCCCCATCGCTTGGAAGGGTCAATTTACTCGAGGTGACCACGGGGTTCCAACAATTATGCTTGAAGCTGTTGCGTCTGCAGATTTATGGATATGGCATGCGTTTTTTGGAGTAGCAGGGTCACGCAATGATGTCAATGTACTCAATGAGTCTCCACTATTTAATAATATTCTGCAAGGTGTTGCTCCCGAAGTTAACTTTACGGTAAACGGAACACCATATACGAAAGGATATTATTTAACCGATGGGATATACCCGGAATGGTCTACCTTCGTTAAAAGTTTTTCATGCCCCCAAGATCTTAAAAGAAAAAAAATTAAAGAAATGCAAGAAGCTGCAAGAAAGGACGTGGAGCGAGCATTTGGAGTACTACAGGCTCGTTGGGCAATTATAAAATATCTTGGACGTTATTGGCATAGAGTAAATTTGCGTGATATTATGTACACATGCATAATTTTGCACAACATGATTATTGAAGATGAAGGAGATAATGCGACAAATTGGTGTGACGATCAGAATGGTGCACTTGATGATGAAGATGATGCAGATAGACTAATTATAAATCACGGTGCGCCCCCCCGCATTTCAAGAGTACATTCGTCTCAATTCCGAAATTAGGGATTCTCAATTACATCACCAACTTTGACATGATTTGGTTGAGCACATTTGGGCACATTATGGCCACAATAATTAAATTATTGATTTATTAGCATTATTTTCTAGTCTTATTTAAGCATCATTGTTTAAATGTCATTTTTAAAGAGGATTAAATTTGAATGATTGATTATGTTAAATACAATTTCATACAATAAAACTTTTATATATAAAAATATAAACACATATAATTAAAATATAATTACATGTTATAAATACTTAATAAAAACGCATATATTAATATATGTGATTAAACTTGAACAAAAGAAAAACAGAACAAATCAAATAAAGTTTGGAATAAGGAAAATACAAAAAAGAGAGTAAGTATACGTTGGTCACTAATCAATATATATACACATATGACTCATACGTACATGCGTGTTTAATTTCTAGGAGAGAGAATCTTTTAGTGCATTTTATACAAAAATCACAATAATCTAAGATCATGATTGAGAGCAAGTTAAGAATATTTGATATCATTAATGATTTTATATGTGGCAATCATGTGGCACAAAAAAACTGCTTATTTGAGTATCACCAATAGAGTTGCTCTAATGGATACATACAAACCAATTAAAAATACATTACAAATAGTACAATTGTCAATTGCCAAGAGTGAAAGGTTTTAAAACTTTGTCAAGTTTGATCGGCACGGAGAATAATAAAGTAAAAACTGTATGATTAAAGTTTGAGCGGAAGAGAGAGAAATAACAGGAACCACAAAATATTGATTAAAATAGAAAGTAACAATTTTTTTTTTTTGGAACAGTCCAAAAAGAAAAGATAGACAATTACAGGTCAAATTTCAAACGCACAAAACTTCAAAAGCACAACCCGACAAAAGCTGAAGTCATGATTTCTGAAACCTGAAATTGAAGCAATGAAGATTGAAGCTCAATTCGCGGGCGATGTTTCCCTGCTGCTGCACCGGAAAGCCGGACTCTAGCTCTTTGATTTCTGGACTGATTGACTGAAGCGGTCAAGGCGTAAAGCGGGTCAAATGTATAAATGGTAATTTTATGTTGATATTATTTAGGGGTGGACATGGGTCGGGACGGTTCGGGATTAGGGTTATCCCGGTCCCGTCCCAATTAATAATAACGGGACGGTACGGTACGGGATAAGCCTTTGTCCCAGTCTTGTCCCATTTAAATCGGGACCGGGATGATTCGGAACGGTTCGGGACGGTTCGAGATGTCCCAAACTAACAAAAAATAATCATTTGTAATTAATATATATTAGCATTCCTAAAGTATCATGCACTAAAATATTAACATTTTAAAAGTTAATTAATGTTCATCACAAGCTAAAAGCTACTACGTACTACGTATTAGATTTTAGTTAGGTTTAGCAAAATTTGAAATTTAAATTTAAAACAAAGCAACAATGAATTATTTTATTCAAAATCATTTGTTCTAGTTGTGAGATACTCATATATAGATATATAAAGTGAGATAAAAACCTATGTTAGTAAATATTTATTTTAGGTATTATTTTTAATTTAAAAATCGGGCATGAAAACTAAAAACATGTTATCATTTATTTTTTGAGTTGACATTACAAACTAGTTACATGCTACAAAATCTATATAGTTATTACAAACGGGACAACGGGACGGTTCGGGATAACCTTCCAATGTCCCGGTCCCGTCCCGTTTGAAACCGGTACGGGACCGGTGCAGGACAAAATCAATGAGACCCAAACGGAACGGGACAACACCGGTACGGTTTCGGGATATACCGGAATGGGACAACGGGACCGGGATTCTTGCCCGCCCCTAATATTATTGCAGTTTGATATTTTAACTCTTAAATGAATTAAAATAGTACTTTAACTATATTTAAATGTTTCAAATTGAGATTTTATACAAATTTGCGGTCAAAATATCACGTGACAGCCGGAATTCTATGCATAAAGTCTACTTTATCTTATTTTTATTCATATGATCACTATAGGGTGACTCTACACGTGGAATTTTGATCGCCATGAAAAAAATTTTGGCCGCAAATTTGAATAAAATCTCAAGTTGAAACATTTACGTATAGTTATGATACTGATTTGATTCATTTAAGAGTAAAGTTATGAATTCAGGTTTCAATCTGCAATAATATCAACATAAAAGTACCATTTATACATTTGACCCGCTTTCCGGTGCAGCAGCAGGGAAACATCGCCCGCGATTTGAGCTTCAATCTTCATTGCTTCAATTTCATGTTTCAGAAATCATGACTTCAGCTTTTGTCGGGTTGTGCTTTTGAAGTTTTGTGCGTTTGAAATTTGACCTGTATTTACCTTTTACGTATAGTTATGAATAAATGTACTAAATCGCAACAATATCAATAGTTAAACTAGTAGGGCTGTAAACGAACCGAGCTTTTATCGAACTATTCGAGCTCGAGCTCGTTTTCGAACCTAACGAGCCGAGCTTAACGAGCTTCGAACTCGAACTCGAGCTGAGTTTTAAATTCGAAAAATTATTCGAGCCGAGCTCGAACATAGTAATTTTCGGCTCGGTTCGAACTCGAGCCTATCGAACACCCTAAAATTTTAAATATAATTTTTATATATGTCAAAATTAAAATATAATTAGTATGGTTTTATGAATTTAAATATGATTATTAATGAACCGAATACTTGTCGAACCATTCGAGCACGAGCCTATTAACGAGCATCATCTAAAATTTTAAATTCGGGCATATTTATCGAGCTTATCGAGCGCTCGGTTCGAACATCGAACGCCTATCGAGGCGAACACGAGCCTCATTTGTAAAGCTCGCCGAGCTTCGAGCTCGAACCCGAACACCCCTTATTCCTTAACGAGCCGAATTCGAGCTTTGGGTGTTCGGGCTCGATTCGGCTCGTTAACAGCCCTAAGTTAAAGTACCATTTATGCATTTGACCGTGTAAAGCCCCAAGTCCCCTAATAATTTTGTAAATCTTTAAGGCAATAGAATAAGCAGGAACAAGAGAGTACCGAATACATAGGGTCACGACTCAAAGGTTTGCGGGCAACGCCTAATAACTAATACGGAGTATGTATTTGCCGCTTTAGGGATTCAATTTTACTTAACGAGCTGGTTCTTACTTTTTTTTTTTTAAATAACAAGCTGGTTCTTACTAGAAAGTAAATTAATTAACTAATAATCATACATATAATACTAGGTGACAACTTCGATACCTTTCTAAAATATGGGGTACCGTACTTATGATTTATTTGATTAGACCACATCACTTTATCATTTTTAATTTAGATTTAAATAATCCAACTGCTATATTCTCATTGATCTATGTGGACAAAGGTATGGTACCTCATAAGTACCATAGAATTTACCATAATAGTAATGGGTTTATAAAATTTGAAGACCCCCATATTTTGAGGCCCAAGACAAGTGTCTAGGCTACGGCCTGGCCGTGTCTGATGATGGTGTTAACATAATTCTTTATTTTTTTTTTTTTTTTTTTTTTTTTTTTTGGTATATAGTAAAAAAAAATATATAGCTTAATGCAAAGTTCCTTTGAGGAAAAGGAAACCATCCCAATGACAAAACCAAGTAGGAAAAAATTAATAAGAACCAAGGATTAGAAACATAAAATATAAAGTAGATCTTTCAGAAGTTGCAAATGCTTGAAATTAAGCCTAGCACTAGAAAGCACAATTTCAACCTGGCAGCAAGCTAAAACAAGGCTTTCTTCAAAGTTTCACAAGGTTCAATGACTTCATTGCTCATTATCAGGTTTGGCAGCTTCTTTGATCTCATCTCCTCCATCATCCTGCATGTCTGATGTCCACAGGGTGAGATTATCCCGAAGAAGCTGCATAATCAGAGTGCTGTCCTTATAGGACTCCTCTCCTAAAGTGTCAAGCTCTGCAATTGCTTCATCAAAGGCCTGCTTGGCAAGATTACAAGCACGGTCTGGAGAATTCAAGATCTCATAGTAAAATACTGAGAAGTTGAGAGCTAGGCCAAGACGAATGGGATGTGTAGGAGCTAGTTCCGCATTGGCAATTTCCTGGGCAGACTTGTAAGCGGAGAGTGTGTTCTCGGCGGCCTCTTTTCTCTCGGCTCCGGTTTTGAACTCAGCCAAGTAGCGGTGGTAGTCACCCTTCATCTTCAAATAGAAGACCTTTGAATCACCAGATGAAGCAGCGCCGATGAGCTTAGAGTCGAGGAGCTTGAGAATGCCGTTACAGATCGAGGTAAGCTCTGACTCGATCTTAGATCTGTAGTCCTTAATTGAGGCAACGTGGTCTTCGTTTCCGCGGCCCTCCTCCTTTTGCTCAATTGACGAGATGATACGCCACGAAGCACGGCGAGCGCCGATCACATTCTTATAGGCAACGGACAAAAGGTTGCGCTCCTCCACGGTCAACTCCTCGGCGCCGTCCGCGGCCGCTACCACCTTCTCCATGAACTCCACCATCTCTTCGTACCGTTCAGCTTGCTCTGCAAGCTTCGCCATGTACACGTTCTCCTCACGTGCAGTCGCCATTGATGCCTGTCTTTGTCTGTGAGAGAGAGCTATTGAAGAGAGAGAAAGTTCAGAATCGGTTTCTATTCTTTATATAAACTTTAGATTATGTTTATTACATATCTAAATTTAGGGTTCTTATCTCATACCATTAAAAGATTGAGGTAAGACAACTATAGTATCAAACTAGTCTTTTATCTGTGCGCTGCACGGGATAACAAATTAATCAAAAAAATAGTTTCATTATAGAAATACTATATTTAGAATGTAGAACCTGAATGAAAACGATGAAACTCTTCAAAATAGTACCATTACGAATATGTGATTATACATTTTTATACAAACAATACATACGAATTAATAGCACCATAGTCAAGTATGCAATTTATATTGAAATATAACTTTGAAGGAGTGTGAGAAAGTGGTCCAGCTCAGCTGGTCGTCGACTCACTCTCCCTTATGTGAGGTCTAGGATTCGAAACTCAATAGAATGAGTTTCAGCCCAGTTTACTCCAGGCCCCCACAGACCTCCTCCCCAGACGCCCCCTGGAATTAAAAAAAATAACTTTGAAGGAGTGTGAGATGAACACTCCAAACATGCATATGTAATTTAAATACATCAAAATTTATATTAAAATTTATTTTAGCACCATAGTCAAGTATTATTTCTTTAAAAAATGTAAATTTATGATGTTAACTGCGTAATTTAAAATATTTTAGAAATCATAAAGATACAATTAATATTCTAAACTTCTATTGCGAAATAAATAAGGTTACCCTCAATTTATACAATTGCAACACTTTTAATTTGCAATTTTGAATTATGCAATTAACCCCATAAATTTACATTTTTGAAAGAAATAATACATGACAATGGTGTGAGAATATTTTTTTATATAAAGTTTGAGATATTTAAATTACATACGCAAGTTTGGGGTATTTACCTCACACCCCTTCAAAATTTTGTATATTTTTATTATTTTTCCCGAATTGATATTTAACTTTAAATTTGATAAACATTTTTTCAATATTGTCATCAAAATATTTTAGTGAAAAAGATTAAACATGAGAAATACATAAGAATGTCTTTCATTTGTTGAATGGACATCAGAATATCAAACACGTTATCCTGAGGAAATATCAGTAAATTAAATATGTAAATGTACACTCGAAGCCTTGGTATAGCTCACTATGAATGGCCATGAGAATACAATACAAATTAAAATAGCGATAGTGTATTAGTAAAGTGTTTCAATACATGGATCCTTTCACCAGCGATAGTGTATTAGTAAAGTGTTTCAATACATGGATCCTTTCACCTCAAGCAAAGGAAAACAATACAAATTGAGAAGTATCAAATCATCCATTGTCACAATCATCAAATGCATTTATAAGTACATCACCATCTTGAACATCAGTCTTAGTTGCTCTCACATGAGAAGTGTGCCTTGCAAGAGATTAGTAGTTATAGGTAACTATTTTTCATAAAATTACTTGGTCAGTATATAAATGTTGTCAATCTTAAAACAAATCAACTAGAAATGTTTATGATGATGATATCATTGACATAAAAATGTTTCCTATTCTTATCTAAATCTTTTCTAAATTTGAGTAAAGACCGTGCCCAGAGTTTACTTAACTAACCATTGTCCAAAGGAGTTGCAAAAAGGAGCATACCTAAAATACTTAGCATTAATCGTTTAGTTATAAACGTTATATAAAACATATTCAAGAAGGGTTGTCATCGTTTCATGAGTTCACATGGAAAATCAAGCTTTTAAAATACCTACCAATGAAATACACTCCCACAGAGTCCAAGTTTTTCTGTTATCTTCGTATAGAAATTGTGATAACATTAAGTGTTAGGAATAACATGATCGTGCTAATATGAGAGAAAAACACTTCTATTACTTTCAAGAATAGAAATAAGAGACATACAAGTTGTAACCTAAAACTCTCAAAAAACATCTCACATATCTCTCAAGAATATTCACAACACTCTTGGTTGTGCTATGATGATCTATTCTAATTTACTTGATGATAGAAAGACTCTCCAAGCTCTCTATTTATAGCACCAAAACTAGGTACTAAGAAGGTGGAAGGAAGATGTGTTGAAGCTAGGAGGAAGCTTCAATGGAGGTGTGAGGAAGATGGTTCCTTGGTGTGAGGAAACTTCCCAGAGACATACTTGCACATGGAGAAAGTTTCATGGAAGCTAGGAATTGGATTCTTCAATTTGCTTGTACTTGGATATGATCTGGAAATTGAATTCTTCAATTCTCCCCTTCCAGACATATTCAAAACAAGCATCCCGACTATGTCTCTGCCTAGCTTTAGCTTATCTCGTGTTACCACCTTCGTCATCATGTCCGATGGATTCTCCTTGGTGTTGATCTTCACTAGTCTCAACAGTTGTTGATCAATCGTCTCCCGTATCCAATGATACTGAATATCAATATGCTTTGTACGAGAATGGTACATGGAGTTCTTGCTCAAGTCTAGAGCACTCTAACTGTCACAATGTACCTTGTACTCTTTCTGCTGGATCCCAAGTTCTTGGAGAAAGCGCTTTAGCCACAACATTTCTTTGCCTGCTTCAGCGACAGCAATGTATTCTGCTTCTGTTGTAGATAAAGCGACACACTTCTGCAATCTTGATTGCCGAGAAACAGCTCCTCCTGCAAAAGTGTAGATATATCCTGGGGAGAAAGCTCAAATTGGACATTATGGTTTCATCAGAATCTCATATTTGACACTAAGGTTTCAAATGGATCAAATTAGACACTATGGTTTCATATGTTTCTCATATTGGACACTAAAGTTTCATAATTCATAGGTTTTGAACACTCACTTATATTTGATAAAGATCAAATTGGACACTCACTTTTATTGAATTATGAAACTTTAGTGTCCAATATGAGATACATATGAAACCATAGTTTCCAATTTGGTCCATTTAAAACCTTAGTGTCAAATATGAGATTCTGATGAAACCATAATGTCCAATTTGAGCTTTATCCCTATATCCCATAATAGACTTTCTACTATCAATATCTCTGGCCATATCAGCATCTGTGTAGCCTTCCAAGACTGGATCAGCTCCTCCGTAACAAAGACATAACTTCGTGGTACCTTTCAAGTACCTGGGAATCCATTTGACTGCCTCCAAGTGCTCCTTCCCGAGGTTAGAGAGAAAACGACTCACTGTACCCACTGCCTGTGCGATGTCTGGCCTTCTGCATACCATGACATACATCAAACTCCCAACTGCTGAAGAATATGGAACTGCTGACATCTTCCCGATCTCTTCCTTGGATGTAGGGCATGTTCTTTTGCTCAACTTGAAATGATTCGCAAGTGGAACACTTACTGATTTGACATCATTCATGTTGAATCTCTCCAGTACTCATTCAATGTACTTCTCCTGAGATAGCGATAACTTACGATTCTTCCTGTCTCGAGTGATCTGCATCCCAAGAATCTGTTGAGTCGGTCCTAAGTCTTTCATATCAAAAGACTTAGAGAGTTCTTTCTTCAGCTGGTTTATATTCACTGCATCTTTCCCAACGATCAACATGTCGTCTAGATATAGTAGAAGAGCAATGAAGGTACCGTCTGGAAGTTTCTTGATGTATACACACTCATCTGCAGTAGTCTTCTTGTAGCCTTGACTCTTCATGCATGAGTCAAACTTCTTATTCCACTGCCTTGGTGCCTGCTTCAAGCCATACAAACTTTTAGATAACTTACACACAAAGTTATCATTTGAGTTCTCAAAACCTTCCGGCTGCTGCATATAGATTTGTTCTTTCAAATCTCCGTGAAGAAATGTTGTCTTCACATCCATCTGTTCAAGCTCTAAGTTCATACTTGCTACCAAGCCAAGTATAACTAAGATTGAGGTCATCTTGACAACTGGTGTAAAGATCTCATCAAAGTATATTCCTTTCTTCTGCTGGAACCCTTTGGCAACCAACCGAGCTTTGTGTTTCACCACTTGCCCGCTTGCATCCTTCTTCAGCTTGAACACCCATTTGTTCCTCAGTGCCTTCTTCCCTTTAGGAAGTTCTACGATCTCATAAGTTTGATTTTTCTGCAGAGATTCTAACTCATCCTTCATTGCTATTAGCCATTTTTCTTTATCATTATGAGACACAGCTTCTTGAAAACTCTTTGGTTCTCCATCTTCAGTTAACAAAAGATATTCAGATGATGTGTACCTTGTCGATGGTATATGCCCTCGTTCAGATCTACGAACAGTAGGAACCATCTGAGAAGAGCTACCATCATCTGTGTCTGGCGGGGTGGATTGTGTCTCCCCTTGCTCTGCACTCTCTTCTGTCTCCTCGTCTTCTTCTGCTTCTGAGTTATCTTCCTGCACTTTTTCTTCTTCTGGTGCTTCATTTGAAACTCTAGCACCATCATTTGACTTCCGAGACATTGTGGGTTTTTCAATGTCTTCTATAGTCAAATCTTCGTGGAACACAACGTTTCAACTTCTGAACACCTTTTTCTCCTTAGGATCCCATAACCTGTATCTGAACTCTTCATTTCCGTAGCCAACGAAAATGCATGGGATAGTTCTTGCATCAAGCTTATGCCTGAGCTCCTTGGATACATGTGCATATGATGAACAACCAAATACTCTAAGATGTGAATATGTAGGATCCTTACCTATCCATAGCCTCTCTGGAACTTCAAAGTTCAGTGGTACTGAAGGTGATCAGTTGATAAGATAGCATGCGATGTTGACTGCTTCTCCCCAGAATAACTTCGGAAGTTTAGCCATATTCAGCATGCTCCGGACACGCTCCATGATAGTCCGGTTCATTCTTTCAGCAACGCCGTTGTGCTGAGGGGTGCGTGGTACTGACTTCTCATGTCGAATGCCATATTGTCTGCAATATACATCGAATGCCTTGGATGTGTACTCACCTCCATTATCAGATCAGAGACGTTTCAGCTTCTTCCCTGTTTCACGTTCCACCAAGACGTGAAATGTCTTGAAGCACTCGAACACCTGATCTTTCGTTGTCAGGAAATACACCCA